CTAAGCCATTAGCAAATACTTTCAGCTCTTCAAAATATGTCCAAAATTCAACCACTTCTCACCACCTTTATTACTACCAACCTGGACAAAACCACCACCATCTTTTGTCTAAATTCCTGCTCCTGTCACGCTGCCTGCATTCTTTTCTTTTTTTTTTCTTGCTGCCTGCATTCTTGCTCCCCCATCTCCCTGGGTCCTTCTTATTCTCAGCACAACAGCCAAAGGGATCCTGCTGAAACATAAATCACTAAGTAAATGACTTACTCATAATTCTAAAAACATGGTACAAACCAATTTTGCTTTGTATTTTTCAAAGGAAACTGGAAAGTTTTCTTCCTCAAATCTTCTCTGCTGTCCAGGAGAAAAAAAAGTAGCAACCATCACATTTGTCCTCTAAATAAGGTTAGCTCACTCTCAATAAAGCCTTGTCCCCACTTAGGGAGGATAGCCAGAGGGCGCAAATCTCTGAAATGCCACTCCTTTCTATCAAGCAAGGGTAACTGTATGCCACAAGTCTGTGCCCATTAATCTGACCACCCCCTCTCTACCATTAAGACTTTTTTTTTTTTTTTTAAAGCTCCCTTGACATCACTATTTAACACCATGTTCTTCTAGCTCTGGGGTTTGTCTAGTTCTGTTTGGCTCTGATTAGGTCACTTGCATTCCAAAATATTGGAAAGGTTGAAACAGTGTTCCAAGGAGACGTCTTCCAGTAACAGCAATGAAAGAACAATTTTCATTCTGCTGGAATTATCAATGTGGTGACTTGGAAACCGCAGTCCTATGCAGACAGTACTTACTAAGACACAAGAGGGTTTTCACTGAAGCATACCACTTCCCAAATCATCACGTTCATTTGCGTTTTTGTGCTGGAGACATTGCTCTAAACTCTAACGGGCAAATTTAGTTAGGCTTGTGGAAGAATAAAAAAGGATTAAGTAAAAGGAAAGATGAAAATAATCTTCTTAATAGGAACAGTATCCACTCAACATTAGAGCTATTTTAAATATACAGTGAGGCCTTGACTTACAAGTGTCCCAACTAACGAGTTTTTCGAGATATGAGCCGTCTCTCGGCCGATTTTTTGCTTTGAGTTGCGAGCTAAAATTCGGGTTACGAGCCAGCTTCAGATACCCCACTGCTAGTTGGCGCAGCGAACGTCACAGTGAACACCACAACATCAGCCCAGCATCACGTGTCTCACTCATTCACTTTAAGTGGTTAGCTCTTAATTGAAGCATCAGTGTTGTGCTCGCATTTGTGCTTGCAGTTACTTTGCAAAACTTCGTTTTTTCAACCATGGATCTGAAGAAAGTAAGTGCAAAGGACAGTGCTGAGAAGAAGCGGATGATGTGCATTGAATTAAAGAAAGAAATTATCGAAAAACATGACCAAGGTGTGCGTGTAATCGACTTGGCGAAGCAGTAGGAGCGTAGCACTTCTACGATCTGCACCATACTGAAGCAGAAGGAGTCGATACAGGCTACAACTCCAGCCAACGGCGTTAAAATAACTTCTAAACAGCGGACATCTATCCATGAAAATATGGAGAAGCTGCTAATGGTGTGGTTAACAGAGAAGCAGCTCGAAGGAGATACCGTGACGAAGGCTATAATCTGCGAGAAGGCATGAGCTATTTACACTGATTTGCTGCAGCAGACCCCAGGCACTTCAATGGACGAGGCATCGGGCAAGCCGTTTAAAGCCAGTCGGGGCTGGTTCGAAAATTTTAAAAAGAGGACTGGCGTTCACTCCGTTGTCAGACATGGTGAGGCAGCGAGCGCGGATATAAAGGAAGGTGACATCAAGGAGCTCATCGAGGAGCACTCCGAGGAACTGACAACGCAGGAGCTAAAGGAGCTACAGACACAGCAGCACACGGAGGTTTTGCAGGAAATAGATGACACGGAGGAGGAGGAGGAGGAGGAGGAGGAGGAGGAGGAGGAGGAGGAGGAGGAGGAGGATATCTCTATAAGTGAGATAAAGGAAATGTTGGGAATGTGGGAGGAACTTTCAGACTTTATTCAAAAGAAACACCCAGAAAAAAATGCAACTGGGCGTGCAATGGAGCTATTTAATGACACTTGCCTAACTCATTTCAGAAATATTCTGAAAGGGAGGATGAAACGATCTCATTGGACAGGTTTTTATCGAAAACTCCTGTAGATGGAAGTGATGAAAGTGTGGCGAAAAGGGCAAAAATCAGCAAATAAGATTCAATTATTCAGTTATTCAGTTCAGCCTTTCTCCTCCAACTCCATCAGCATCTTTAAGTCGTTTGATCTCCAAGGTAAATGCTGTACATTAGACTTAATAAAACAAGTTTATTGCACTACATTCTATTGTTCAGTATTGTGTTTTTATACAATATTCATTATTTTTAAATACATTTTTCTTATTTAAAAACATTTAATAAAACAATTGCCGTGTTTTTTGGGTGTCCGGAACGGATTAATGGCATTTCAATTCATTGTAATGGTAAAAATTGATTTGACATACGAGTAATTTGAGTTACGAGCTCCGTCACGGAATGAATTAAACTCATAAGTCAAGGCCCCACTGTACATACACTCTAGCGTTGACCTATGAACCAGGAGGTCACAGTTCTAGTCCCGGTCAGGGCACATGCCTGAGTTGAGGACTTGATCCTCAGTTGGGGGCATGCAGGAGGCAGCTGATCAATGATTCTCTCATCATTGATGTTTCTCTCTATCCCTCTCCCTTCCTCTCAGAAATCAATAAAAATACATTAAAAACTAAATAAATAAATATACAGAAACTCTAGAATCCTTGACTCAAACAGTAAGTTTATGAAGACCACTCTCTAAATGGCAGCTGCATCCTTCCCCTGGCTCAGGCCAAAACCTTCAGAGTCACCCTCCACCGGTCTTTCTCCTGGGGTCCTTTACATTTGCTGTCCCTCTGCCTAGTGTCCTTTCCCCAGCTCATCACCTCCATTTTCCAGTTTCTTCCCAAATATTTTCTTATCAGTGAGGATTTCCCTGAACGACCCATTTAAAAGAACAAACTCCCTCCCTATACTACTACTGGTGTTTTCTTGGCTTTATTGTTCTCAAAGCACTTCAGACCTACACACACTGCATATTTGGCTTATTTTACTTGTTCATTAGTTTACTGACTCTCTCTCCTTCCAAGTTTTCCAGAATGTAAGCTACAGGGACAGAAATTTTGTCTGTTTTGGTCAATGCTAAATTTCTACCTGGTAGAACACCTAACACACAACAGGCACTCTAATATTTGTATAATTAATGGGGATGAGAAGTAAAACTTTGACATCAGCCTGAGTGAGGACAGGCGACCATTTAACCTTCAAATTATTTACTTATTCCTCCTAACAAGCTCTACCAGAACAAAAACATCTTCCCTGAGATTGGAGGGTCCTGGGTTCGATTCCAGTCACGGGCATGTACCTCGGTTGAGGGCACATCCCCAGTGGGGGGGGGTGTGCAGGAGGCAGCTGATCAATGTTTCTCTCTCATTGATGTTTCTAACTCTCTATCCCTCTCCCTTCCTCTCTGTAAAAAATCAATAAAATATGTTTTTAAAAAACAAACAAACAAACAAAACAAAAAAAAACATCTTCCCTGATTACATACTGATGGTAACATTTAGGCAACACTTTAGGAAGGAATGCAACATTTACAACTTCAAAGCATATAAGATACAGCTCATGCTTTAATTCCATTAACATAAAACTGGAAATTATTGAGAGTCACAGGCAGCAGGTGGCATCATGACATAGGTTCCTTGTAAATTCACCTACACACACTCTGGTTTCACCATTCAAGTCATTGAGCTCCCTATTCTTTTGCGCTGCTAAGCAGTAACTAGACCGAGACCTTGTCTACTCTTACTGGAATTGTGAATTTCCAGAGAGAAGCCCAAGTACGTTACCTGAACTAGTACAAGAAAAATCTCTGCCCGAAATGCTGAGTTTATTATTACCAAGAATGCTACCAAACAAGTTCTCACACTCAAACATAAGTTTAAAAATATGAAAAAGTAAATCAAAATAATTATGTTATAGCCGAAATAAGGAAGAGGCACCACTGATATTTATCAAAACTTAACAGAAAATATATTAATTTTCTAGAAGAGCTGTCGGAACTCTTTCTCAACAACAGAGTACACCAAAAGTCTGTACAAAGGTCGGAACTTATTTTCTTTAGCTCTGCAGGAAAAAAAACAATTAAACCCACTCTTGAGAAAGTTAAACCATCGTGACTTCAAAATTCTCAGCATGTTTGGCATCTTCAGCTGATTTATTTAAGGAGCTAATTATAGAGCTAAAGCGCATGTGTTCCACTCCATTTCCACAATGCGTATGGCAAACCTTGTGCAACTACAAACCAAAAAAGCAGCAGTGAGTACAGGGCGGAGAGTGGCTCCCTCACATTCTAAACCACATAGAGGTGCGACCTGAAACCAGGGGGGAGGTGTCCCCACGGCCAGAGGACGGCCTTGAGGTCTGCCTCCATCTCCCTCTCCACGCCCCCCGCGCCCCAGCAGCCCGAGGCTGGCCTCGCAGAGGGGGTCCCCTCTCACCGTCACTGCACTTATACTGGCAGAGCCCGTCCTCGCCCCCCAGGAGGTCCAAGGCGGCGTTCAGGTACGTGTCGATCTTGTGCACGCCGTTCCGGATGGTCTTCAGGGTGGCCCTCCAGTCGGTGGACTGGGCCTCTTCCTGGCACCGGAGCGCGGCGGTGAGGACCAGGAGGAGCACGGCGAGCGCGGGCCACGGGAGCAGGGCCATCCGCAACGCCCAGCCGCGTCGGGACCCACCGGTCCCCAGCGCCGCGCGACGGGCGCGCCCCCACCGAGCCGCTGGGCGCCCGAGGCAGCGGCACGGGCTCCGCGCTCCCGGGAGGCCAGTCCCACGCCCGCGCCTCCTACCCCGGCCGGGAGGCGGGCCCTGGCCGCCGTCACTGCGCTCCCGCGGGAGGCGGCGCCCCTGTGCGCCTGCGCCCCAGCCCGGGGCGCCCGGGAGGCGGGGAGGTGCGAGCGCGCGGCCGCGGCCGGAGCGGCGGTCTCCACGCCCACCTGGCCTTGCGGGCGGCCTGGCCCAGGTTCCCGTTAGCGCTGCTTGAGCGGGTCGTGCTGACCTACATACTCACACAGGGCCCCCCGGACCCCCGCAGGCTGAGCAAGTGAGTCCCGGGAGGCAGGCGGCATCTGCACGTTTAAAAAGCTCCCCGGGTGCTTGCAGGGTGCCGCGTGTGGAGAACCCCCGTGAAGAAAGCTGCTCTGCTGGGGGTCAGCCCAGCGCCCCCGAGGGACAAGCTTAACTAGGTGTGGACAAGGTCGGAGAACTGAGGCCCCTTGAGGAGGGGCTGCGAGGGGTCCAGCTGTGCTCCTCCTGCCCAGGTGGCGCAGGAGGGGGGAAGGGGGACCCAGACCGGTCACCAAGGCTGGGGCGGTGCCTGACTCGCGAGAGTGAGGGTGAGCTAGATGCTGGTTTAGAAATCCTGGAAGAAGAAAATGATTTGGCGGTTAAAACCGTAAGTCTTTTCGGCCAGGTGAGGAAGAAGAGGTTTTAACACTTGAATGCAGTTTTTTAAAAAACCTTATGGAAGTCAGTTTTCCTACTCAAGATATTTTGTAACGTGATAGCTCCAGTGACGTTTCTCTGTATTATCACCGCCCCCCCCCCCCCCAGCGCTGTGCAGTACCTTTAAATAACAATTGCAATAATATTTACCAGAGCTATAAATATCCGGTTATCTTAATATCCTGGCAGTTATCAAGAATCTTACAGTAAGACCCAGGGCAGTATTGCAAGTGTTGGGAATAGGTGTGGCCTTTCTATAAGAATTATGGATACATTCTAGGTTGGCATTTTGTGTTTGTAACAAGCTTCAAGAGTTTATAATAATTGTGCAGAGTTCTTAAGAATGATATCCTTCTGTATTGAGCGCTTACTCTGCCATGCACTTTACCTACACATCTCTCACATTCAGAGCACTGCTTTACAGGGATGCAGCCTTTGGGCCAGTGAGAAACCGGTGCCCCTCTCAGCAGATGGATGTAGCCCAACCCCAGGCCCCAGCTTTACTCAGCCCTTCAGCAAGGTACCCTTGAGCTGTGATCAACTGGCACCATAGTGAAGGAAGATGAGAAATGTGACCAGGTGGTGTTATTCTCCTTCTCCAGGGAAGGAGTGGAGGTGGGAAGTCACAGGACAATGCCCAGTCAAACCAAGGCCTCTGTCTGCACTCACAAGATGCCAAATACTGTTTTTCCTTTACTTTGGACAGTACGTTTCAACACATTTGGAAAAGGAATGTATATAGAATTGTCTTCTTTCGCTTTCTGGAGTTTTATTGTTGGGTGTTTTTGTTTTTTTTTTATCTCTACAATGTGGATGTTGGACTGGATTACTTCTGAGGGCCTCCCCTAACACCAATACCAGAACCCTTAAACCAGGCTTGGTTCTTTCCAGTCTTCAGAGAAACTGCCTGGTAGGGACTAAGTCTCCCAGAAAGAAAGACAGAATATAACAAGGTAACCTGGTTCCAGCCCCCAGAAGGCCTCCCTTTTTTCCCTTTTCTCTGTACATTTGCTCCTTGGTGAGCTCAACTAATTTCTTTCTTTCTTTTTTTTTAATCTTTATTGATGAGAGTATTATAGATGTCCCTCTTTTTTCCTCCCATTGCCCCCACCCACCCGCTTCCTGACCCGCCCCAGGCCTTCACCACCCTATTGCCTGTGCCTATAGATAATGCATATCCTATCTAATAAAAGAGAAACATGGTAATTAGCATATGACCGCTACACTTCCCATTGGCTAATCAGGGCAATATGCAAATTAACTGCCAGCCAAGATGGCGGCCCGCAGCCAGGCAGCTTGAAACTAACATGAGGCTTGCTTGCTTCAGTGACGGAGGACTCCAACGTTCCCCGCCTGCCGCTGCAGGCCTCTGAGCTGCAACTCTAAGCAACTATGTTACAAATATAGAAGCTAAACAAAACCCCAGAAACCTGCTTTAGTCCGCCGGGCTTCAGCCAGCAGGATCGCAACCTTGTAAACAAAGTTCAGCAGCGGAGGCCTAAGAGCTGGAGCCAAGCCTCAAAGCTAAAGCTGGCCCAGAATAAAAAAAAAAGAAAAAAAGGAGCAGTTCGGAGCTTCAGTTACCCGCCAGCCTGAAAACAGCCCTCAGCCCCTCACCCAGACTGGCCAGGCACCCCAGTGGGGACCCCCACCCTGAAGGGTGTGTGACCAGCTGCAAACAGCCATCATCCCCTCACCCAGGCTGGCCAGGCACCCCAGTGGGGACCCCCACCCTGATCCAGGCCACCCTTCAGGGCAAACCAGCCGGCCCCCACCCATGCACCAGGCCTCTATCCTAATATAGTAAAAGGGTAATATGCCTCCCAGCACCGGGATCAGTGGAGCCGCGAGGCCTCCCGGCACCGGGATCAGCATGACAGAGGACAGCGCCCAAACCCCCTGATCGCCCTGCGGCTCTGTGTGTGACAGCGGGCGGGGCCACAACCTCCCTATCTGCCCTGCTCTGTTTGTGACAGGGGAAGGCGCCCCAACCCCCTGATCAGCCCTGCTCTGTGCCTGATAGGGGGGAGCTCCCCAACCTCCTGATCGCCCTGCAGCTCTGTGTGTGACAGGGTGCGGCGCCCCAACACCCCTGATTGGCCCTGCTCTGTGTGTTACAGGGGGCAGCGCCCCAACCCCCTGATTGGCCCTGCTCTGTGTGTGACGGGGTAGAGCCATAACCTTCCCATCGGCCCTGCCCTGAGTGTGAGAGTGGCGGTGCCCCAACCCCCTGATCAGCCCTGCTCTGTGGGTGATAGAGGGCGGTGCCCCAACTCCCCTATCTGCCCTACTTTGTGAGTGACAGGGGAGCTCCTCAACCACCTGATCGGCCCTGCTGTGTGCGTGACAGGGGGCAGCGCCCCAACCCCCTGATTGGCCCTGCTCTGTGTGTGACAGGGGGTGGCACCGCAACCTGCCCATCGACCCTGCCTTGAGTGTGACAGGGGGCAGTGCCCCAACCCCCAAATCGGCCCTACCCTGAGCGTGACTGAGGGTGGCATCACAACCTCCCAATCTGCCCTGCTCTGTGCATGACAGGGGGCGGCACCCCAACTCCCCAGTTGGCCCTACTCTGAGCCCGACCAGGGGCTGCACCTAGGGATTGGGCCTGCCCTCTGCCACCTGGGAGCAGGCCTAAGCTAGCAGGTCGTTATCTCCCAAGGGGTCCCAGACTGTGAGAGGGCACAGGCCGGACTGAGGGACCCCCTCTCCCCCCCGAGTGCACAAATTTTTGTGCACCGGGCCTCTAGTCCTATATAATAAAAGCCTAATATGCAAATTGTCCCCTTGGGCGGTTGTTCCACTGGGAGTTTGACAGGGAGACCAGGAGTTCAATTGCTCGCTATGACGTGCACTGACCACCAGGGGGTGGCATGGAACATGGAGGGTGTCAACTACATGGCGCTGGCAGCAGGTGGCAGTGGAGGCGCTACCCATGGCGGGATGGTGGAGCAGGTGAGTGGGCAGCATCAGGCCAAGGCAAGTGGGTGTGAGTGGGGGCCTGATTGCCCCGCTGATTTTCCCACAGATGGCGACCAGTGGCAGCAATGATGGACGGGGCTGCCACCTGGCTCCCAGGCACTGAGAGAGCTGGGCGGATGGCCCGGCCCCAATTGATCGCCCATAGGCAGGATGATGGAGCAGGTAAGGAGGCAGTGCCAGGCCAAGGCAGGGTGCCAGGCGGGGCTGCAGGGCTTCGAGGCTGGGGGTGCGAACTGGGGCCTAATCTCCACAGGCCACCATGAGAGACCCCACCTGTGCACGAATTCGTGCACTGGGCCTCTAGTATGTATGTATATAAGTTGTTTGGCTAATGTCTTCCCACCCTCTCCACCCCCCTTCCCTCTGAGATTCATCAGTCTGTTCCATGTTTCTATGCCTCTGATTCTATTTTATTCACCAATTTATTTTGTTCATTAGATTCCTTGTTGGTTTATTTTGATTTTTAAATTCAATTGTTTATAGATTTGTCTTTATTGCCATTTTATTGTTCATATTTTTGATTCCTTCTTCTCCTTCTCCTCCTTTTCCTCTTTCTTCTCCTCCTCTTCTTCTTTACCCTTCAATATTTCATGTAATACTAATTAGGTGGTGATGAACTCCTATAGCTTTTTCTTGTCTATGAAACTCTTTATCTGACCTTCAATTCTAAATGATGGCTTTGCTGAGTCATCTTGGTTGTAGGTCCTTGCTATTCATCACTTTGAATATTTCTTGCTACTCTCTTCTGGCCTGCAAAGTTTCTGCTGAGAAATCAGCTGACAGTCCTATGGGCACTCCCTTGTATTTAACTAACTGCTTTTCTCTTGATGCTTTTAATATTCTCTCTTTGTTTTTAAGCCTTGGCATTTTAATTATGTGTTTTGGTGTGGGCCTCTTTGGGTTCCTCTAGTTTGGGACGCTATGTGCTTCCTGACTTGTAAGTCTTATTTCTTTCACCAGGTAAGGGAAATTTTCTGTCATTCGTTCTTCAAATAGGTTTTCAACATCTTGCTATTTCTCTTCTCCTTCTGGCACCCCCATAATGTGAATGTTGGTTTGATTGAAGTTGTCCCAGAGGCTCTTTACACTGTCTTCATATTTTTGGATTCTTTTTTCTTTTTGTTCTTCTGATTGGGTGTTTGTTTGTTTTTTGCTTCCTCATATTCCAAATAGTTGATTTGATTCTTGGAATCCTCTGCTCTATTGTTGAATCCCTATAAATTATTTTTTATTTCATTTAGTGTATGCTTAATTTCTGACCGGTCCTTTTTCATGTCTTTGATGTTATCACTAAGGTTCTTGAAATTCTCACTATGTCCCTTGAAGCTCTCATTAAGATCCTTGAGCAACCTTATAACCATTGTTTTCAACTCTGTATCTAGTAGTTTGCTTGCTTCCATATCTATCTATCTATCTATCTATCTATCTATCCTAATACTAGAGGAATATGCAAATTGTCCAGGATGCCATCACAGTAACAGTAACGACTGAACAGCAGGCTGGCAGAGGGGGTTAGTGAGGGATGACCAAAAGACTGAACAGCAGGCTGCATGGGTGACCAGGCCGGCAGTGGGGGCAGTTGGGGGTGACCAGGCCGGTTGGGGGGCAGTTGGAGGCAACCAAGCTGGCAGGAGGGCAGTGAAGGGCATCCAGGCCGGCAGGGAAGGGCCAGTTGGGGGTGACCAGGCTGGCAGGGGGGCGACCAGGCCAGCAGGGGGGCAGTTTGGGATGACCAGGCCATTGGGGGGGCAGTTGGGGGTGACCAGGTCAGCAGGGGGGACAGTTAGGGGCAACGAGGCCAGCAAGGGGGCAGTTGGGGGCAGCCAGGCTGGCAGGGGGTGGGCAGTTGGGGGCGACCAGGCCAGTGGGAGGGCAGTGAGGGGTGACAAGGCTGGCAGGGGGGGAGTTGGGGGCAACCAGGCCAGCAGGGGGAGCAGTGAGGGGCAACCAGGCCAGCAAGGGGGGGCAGTTAGGGGCAACCAGGCTGGCAGAGGGGGGCAGTTGGGGGTGACCAGGCCAGCTGGGGGGGCAGTAAGGGGTGACCAGACCGGTGAGTGGGGGGCAGTTAGGGGAGTCCAGGCTGGCAGAGGGGCAGTTAGGGGTGATCAGGCTGGCAGAGGGGCAGTTAGGGGTGATCAGGCTGGCAGGCAGAGGCGATTAGGGGTGTTCAGGCTGGCAGGCAGGGCAGTTAGGGGCGATCAGGCAGGCAGGCAGGTGAGCAGTTAGGAGCCAGCTGTCTCAGATTGTGAGAGGGATGTCCGACTGCTGGCTTAGGCCCGATCCCCGGGATTGGACCTAAACCGGCAGTCGGACATCCCCAAGGGGTCCCAGATTAGAGAGGGGAACCCTCCCATGCATGAATTTCATGCACTAGGCCTCTACTGTGTGTGTATTTATATTTTATATTTATACTTATATTTATATTTATATTTGCATTTATATAAAAGCCCTGGGTGTAACACAGTGATGGCGAACCTTTTGAGCTCGGCGTGTCAGCATTTTGAAAAACCCTAACTTAACTCTGGTGCCATGTCACATATAGAAATTTTTGATATTTGCAACCATAGTAAAACAAAGACTTATATTTTTGATATTTATTTTATATATTTAAATGCCATTCAACAAAGAAAAATCAACCAAAACAATGAGTTTGCGTGTCACCTCTGACACGCATGTCATAGTTTCGCCATCACTGGTGTAACATGACGACCCGAGGCACGACCAACTGGAAGGAAGTCAGTCCTGCAGGGGTTGGCTTGGAAACGGCTGTGCTCTTCCCCAGCTGTTTCCCCAGGGGGGTGAGGTTTCAGGCAGGAACCCACCCTCGGAGCAGAGCATGGAAGTACTGAGTCCTGGGTTGCCTTGCCAAGGGCTGCGCCCTCCCCCAGCTGTTTCCCGCAAGGCCTGAGGGAAGAACCCACCCTCTGAGCGCCAGGAGTGCCCAGCAGCAGTCAGTCCTGGGTTGCTGAGGCGGAGACCACAGTGTGGTAGAACTCTGGGTCTGGCCCAACAGGGGGCGTGGCCAGCCTTCAAACCAGACCCTGACAGTAGGGAGGAGGCAGCCCCATTCCTCACAGAATCTGCTGTTGGATAGCTTGCTGTCAGTGGCCTGCCAGCCAGGAACCCCATTCATCTGCAGCCCGGACCCTGACAGGAGGGAGGAGGGAGCCCCATTCCTCATGGAATCGACAGGTGGCCAGCTTGCTGTCAGGAGCCTGCCTAGGAATCCTATTCACCTGCATATCTGTATAAAGTTTTAATACATTATATTAGAGGTTGTGGTGGTACTGTTTTACCCACAGTGTCTACAGGAATTGCTGCAAATTTACTTCTTGGTGGAAGCACCTTTCATTCCCAATATAAATGAACAATTCCATTAAAAGAAACTTTAATTTTTAGACTCGATATAAACAGTGAAGTTGCTAAAACTATTAAAAAGGCCCAACTTTCATTATTGATGAATGCATCCAGTCATGCTATAAACGCCATAGGCAGATTACTAAGAGGAATTATGGATTTGAATGTTCTATTTGGTGGGAAAATTCTCCTTCTCGGAGGGGATTTTCAACAATGTCTTAGTATTGTACCGCATGCTATGCGATTGGCCATAGTACAAACGAATTTAAAGTACTGCAGTGTTTGGGGATGTTTCAGAAAGTTGTCTCTTACAACAAATATGAGATCAGAGAATTCTGCTTATAGTGAATGGCTAGTAAAACTTGCAGATGGCAAACTTGATAGCAATTTTCATTTAGGAATGGATATTATTGAAATCCCCTGTGAAATGATTTGTATGGATCTATTATTGAAGCTACCTTTGGAAGTAGTATATCTATAGATAATATTAAAAATATATCTAAACATACAGTTCTTTGTCCAAAAAAATGAGCACGTTCAAAAATTAAATGAAGACATTTTGGATATACTTGATGGATATTTTCACACATATTTGAGTGATGATTCCATTGATTCAACAGATGGTGCTGAAAAGGAAAATTTTGCCATTGGATTTCTTTTTTTTTTTTTTTAAATTAAATCTTTATTGTTCAGATCATTACATTTGTTCCTCTTTTTTCCCCCCATAACTCCCCTCCTCCCAGTTCCCGCCCCACCCTCCGCCCTCACTCCCCACCCACTGTCCTCATCCATAGGTGCACGATTTTTGTCCAGTCTCTTCCCGCATCTCCCACACCCCTTTCCCCCCCAAGAATAGTCAGTCCATTCCCTTTCTATGTCCCTGATTCTATTATGATCACCAGATTATTTATTCACTTGATTCTTAGATTCACTTGTTGATAGATGCATGTTTGTTGTTCATAATTTGTATCTTTACATTTTTCTTCTTCCTCCTCTTCTTAAAGGATACCTTTCAGCATTTCATATAATACTGGTTTGGTGGTGATGAACTCCTTTAGCTTTTCCTTATCTGTGAAGCTCTTTATCTGACCTTCAGATCTGAATGATAGCTTTGCTAGATAAAGTAATTTTGGTTGTAGGTTCTTGGTATTCATCACTTTGAATATTTCTTGCCATTCCCTTCTGGCCTGCAAAGTTTCTGTTGAGAAATCCGCTGACAGTCGTATGGGTATTCCCTTGTAGGTAACTGAGTTTCTTTCTCTTGCTGGTTTTAAGAGTCTCTCTTTGTCTTTTGCTCTTGGCATTTTAATTATGATGTGTCTTGGTGTGGTCCTCTTTGGGTTCCTTTTGTTTGGGGTTCTCTGCGCTTCCTGGACCTGTAAGTCTATTTCTTTCACCAGGTAGGGGAAGTTTTCTGTCATTATTTCTTCAAATAGGTTTTCAATATCTTGCTCTCTCTCATCTTCTGGTACCCCTATAATTCTGATGTTGGTACGCTTGAAGCTGTCCCAGAGGCTCCTTATACTATCTTCATATTTTCAGATTCTTTTTTCATTTTGCTTTTCCGGTTGGGTGCTTTTTGCTTCTTTGCATTTCAAATCTTTGCCTTGATTCTTGCGCTCCTCTGGTCTGCTGTTGGGAGTCTGTATAGTATTCGTTATTTCAGTCTGTGTATGCTTAATTTCTAGTTGGTTCTTTATCATAACATTGAGGGTCTCATTAGATTTCTTGAGGATCTCACTATATTTATCGACGGCTTCTAGACAGTTCTTAAGAGACCTTAAAAGTGTGGTTCTGAACTCAAT